ATATAGAGAGTTTTTTGCATTTATGGTTTTATTTTAATTTCAATTTGTATTTGGAACTCATTTATTCCTAGTTCTAAGTAATTGTAACGCAATTCAGTCTATGGACTGCCATGTTCGTTATCCAATAAACTATCTATCTATCTATCTATCCATCAGATATTAAAATTTCATTTTCCCCAATCACGAAAATAAAGAAGTAAGATACTCCTTTTAATAACCTCCTCTTGGGCTAGTAAGAATGATTGAAGAAGCAAAATCATGAAAGGCTACATAAAGGCTGCATATCGTAAATCACCTACCCAAATCACTCTCATTGGATGACTCTGGCCATTCGTCCACTTGGCGTTGTAACTGCCGGAAGAAAAACCAAATCGTCTAAAGAATCTTCCTCATCATTGTCCGCATTAGAATATTCAGCCTCTGAGTCAGTGTCATACTCATCCTCCTATTCTACCTCTGCTGCCTCTACTACTTTATTGTCTTCGATGGCCTCGTGTGATGTAGAAGGTGTAACAGTTGTAACGGTTGTAGCTGAGAAGTAACCGTCCCCTCTTGGATAGTGTTATGGCTGAATGAGACTTTATATATAGGATAGTCGGATGCTCTGTACATATTTAACGGCAATGTTCCGGCCTTGAACATGGTGGTCTCTTGCCTCTCACTTCTCTGCCGGTCAGCCTTCACATTATTTGTTGCCCACTCAATCATGAGGTCTTTTTCCTGCCTATTCAACTCTCTTCTTGTGTTGAGATGCTCCAGCTTCGGAATGGCATTTAGTGGAGCGCTCTGGTGTAACACAGGATAATAGGATTTATCGTTGCCTGAATTAGTAGATACTCCAGGGTACTACATGCTTAATGCTTTTGTATATGGTATTTGCCAGATTCTGTGCATACTGCAAAAGGGTAGGAAACTGGTCCTTGAAATGACCAACTGCATGGAGGTTTTCAACCTGAACTGTAAGACAGGAGTACAGATCAATGGTGAAGCCTGGATTGTGTTCTTTAACTAAAGCCTCCAGATCTTTCAGTCCATTTAAGATCATGTTCACCAAACGCTTTGTCTGATTAGAAATAGTTCCTTGTCGACCGCTCAGTTTACCTGTGCTGGTATCGTTGACATCGTTGTTATGCAATAACGCTTTTTCTGTTATTGTTTCCAAGTAACTGTCAAGTTCTTCCAGAAGCTCAATTGCTTGTGGTAGTGAACGTTTTGGTACAGTCTGATGTTTCATATGACCATTAAAGACTTTAAAGAGGAATCCAAGATGGCCTAGACACTTTACAATGCCTTTCATTGAGGTAACCAGCTTCACAGAGCCTGTTTGAGCATTGGTGATGAATGTGTTCTTGTGCTCCACACATATGCCTCTAGGCTACACAAATGTTGCTTGGTCTCCCTTTCCATTTTATTTTACTTCCTTTCCTGTTCCAGCAGTGACTACGGCCTTCTCACCATAGATCTTCATCTTTATTTGTAAGCGTTAACATCCTTATACGGACCAAACAATGGGACAGATTTTCCCCATTCCCCACCCCTCCCCCTTGCCACCCACGTGATTGAAATGACCACAAAAATACTTATCGCCCCTCCCCTTCAAGCGGCGGAAACTTTTACACCCACCTTTGTTCATCTCCTCGAGGTCTTTCCAGTAAAGAAACTTTCAAGGTTGTAAAACCGCAACACAATGCAATCTGAGTACACTGTTTCAACATATTATGACTCTGTTCATTTTATTTCCCATTGCCCACTGGAAACCCTGATAATTTGCTCATTAAAATAAATGGGAATTTACGTCAACAAAGGTTTGCAAGTAATGTTGTCTCCACAGGAGATTATGTCACCTCCTAAAGCATGGCCATAAGCTGTAAGGTACCTCTTCCTCCCCCTTGGTGGAGTTGAAAAGCTACGACTGCAAACCAGCTAACTATATCAAGCAGAATAAATTAAATGAGCTCTACAAACTGACACTTCATCTAGGAACACGATTGATTATTGCAGTTATACACACAACTTATTAAGTAGTTGTGAAATTAAAGCCTTAAAAAAAAATTTAGGCCTGAACGGGATCAGAACCCATGGCCTCTGCAATACCGCTGCAGTACTCTAGAACTAACTGAGCTATCAAGCCAACTGGAGCTGGTCACGTTGTGAGTTCGTAATATACCCTAGATGGTGAATAAACATGTGTCTGAATAGATAAATGATCACATATTTGAACCGTGGAACTGTACCCCTCTTAAGCAGAAAACCTGTGACAATGAAATATGATAAAGAATAAACCAATGAATGAAATGCTTGTCATGGAGCTTTGTGTGTTTTCCCGATAATACATACAGTGCCTCCTAAACAGTTACAGGCTGAACTGTTGAAGAATTACTGAAGCCAGAGTTAAGGGTTATTCAACCATTTTAATTTAACTTTATCATGACTGAGCTATCATTTACATATGTATAAAAAATGAGTGCAAGGCAGGATCATTGAAGTTTACAGCAATCAAGCGCATGTTAAAGAGAATGCGAGCATGCAAGCAGTAGCAAAAATTTTGTGAGCATGAGCAAGTGAGCACCAGTGTAATTTTTGCGAGCAATTCAAGCAAAGGCCAAAGTTTGTGAGCACTTTTAAATTGAATGGGACCATTCGATACCCCTACCCGAGCACCTGTGTTTCTTTGTCAGCAAGTATGCTAAAGGTCTTGAGCAAAGTGAACACGCAAGAGGTCTAAAAGGATCCTGGCACCACCTCTGCCAGATCATGTGCAGACCTTTCACCTTGCTAATGAATCTTAAGGCCCGAAACTTATTTGTTGGCAAAAATATGCTAATAATGCACAAAATTATAAGTCTAGAGCTTGTTTGCCGGCTTACTGTTCAGTTTTCTCAAGATATTGTACCTGAAGGATTTATTTTTTGCTTGTGATTTGCCCTTTGAATGCAGTGTGATCTATTGTTTCTTTACTATCCAGACAGCTTGGACCATAATAGATTGAAATGTATACCAAAGAAGGAGCTTAATTTGAATTATTCATTGACCAAATGAAATTACTTCCTAGGGTATTAAGAGAAATAACTACAGAGAGGACTTAGAAGATGCAGGAGTCCAGATGATTCAAAAGAAACATCTGTCTTTGCAAAGGAAAATAGCTCTTGGTCGTCCATATTCTGGTGATGTTTACACTGCCCAGTGGTCACAAGGTCATAATACGGTATGTTGATTTTGGTACACTTCAAAATTATTCTTGGACTAATAGTAATATGTGCTTGAGCCTATGGGCTATGGGATGCTCATGCATCACAAGTTACCCCCTCCCTCGGCATTTTATCACGCTACCTTGACAATTCATCAGCCACAAGGAGTATAAGTACTCTCCACTGGATGGGATGCTCATCCATCTAAAGGTTACCCCCCTCGCATTGAACATTTCATCAGGCTTCCCTGACAATTTGTCAGTAAGCATTCATACTCTTGGTTAAAAAAAAATTTAATAAAGAGAGAAATTTGAGAGGAAACATGCTTATTATATTCAGATTTAGTACACACTGAGTCATGTGGGTTTGAGTCTGTTGATCATGTAGCTCTTAGAAGTGATTAGCATCCATTGAGTGGCTTCTTGTTTCAAAACTTTTTCAAACATTCTCCTGCAAACATGTGATGAGAGCAGACAAGCATAGACATCTGAGCACAAATTCCTACATTGTTTCCATCAGGTTGATGTTGTTTTACGCTTCGACTTTGGTCCAGCACAGCGAGAGTTGTTCATCAGAGAAGCTAAAATAATGACTTGTCTCAGTCATGAATACATCATGAAGTTTTATGGTGCTGTTATTCTGGGCTCATATGCAGACTCTGTGGGATTGGTACAGTATTAATATTATTTCATTTTGCCATATTATGCTGGCTCTAATTCTTAGTCTCTTAATAATCAGTTTGACAGCTTAACGTAAGTGATTTTGAATTACGGTATTCTAGCAGTGGTAGCATCTTTGAAGTTGTCAAGGTCTATTAGAGAACAGACTTAGAAACTTTTGGTTTTTCTCCAAGAAACATTACACACGCAGTTAGTTTTACAGATGCCCATTTACTTATGATCACCTGTTTTAAGACGATGTTTTTCCTGTTTTTTGTTACCACCCAAGGCAGTTGAATTTTTCAGCAAAGGCAACCTGGAGGAGTTTCGGGTTCCATCTCTCTTCCATGCCTGGCTCTATGCATCACAGCTCTCTTCAGCTCTAAAATATCTGGAGTCCAAACATCTTGTACATACATCTGTAGCGGAGCCTTTTGTTTACATTTCATCGCTTGAAAAGGTAATGTTTACATAGTCTTATTAAAATAATTAATGATCTCTCTTCTAAGCATTGATGGTGAATGGCTATCTGCTTATACCCAATACTCTTAGGAGTAAAATACAGTTGGGAATGAATGGCTTTCTAGTCAGAGTTTCATAGTCATGCTGATTGTTTTTTTGGGGGGGGGGGGAAGAGGGGGCTGAATTTGAAAATTTGAAAATTTTGGCATTGTTTTCTTAGCCCCTATCTCTTTTTTTGATTGAAAATTGTAAATTTGTTACACTTCTATCCTTCTTTGTGTCTGTTGTCTGCCCCTTTTTCTTATCCTCTAGTTCTAGCCTCCTCTTCTTTTATGTTGTTTGTTATCCGTTATCTTGCCCCATTTTCTTTTCCCTCCAGTGCTCTCCTCCTCCTCTCTTTTTATGTCCTTTCCTCAAGTTTAATGTACATAGAGGATGTTTACCCAAAATTGTATTTTATTTTTGAGGCTACAAAAATTGACAATTACAGTATTTTACAATTCAAATTTATAACACTTCTTTTTTAAGTTTTAATTTTGTAGTAGCTTAAGGTCTCACTAGAAACTAATAATTATGAATACCTTTTCTTATCCTCTATTTCTAGCCTCCTCTCCATAAATGTCATCCTTTTTTTTCCCATATCTTGCCTTTTTTTCTTACCCTTCTATTTCTAGCCTCCTCTTGTCCTTTTACATTCTTCTTTCTCTCATCTCCTTTCCCTTACCTCTTGTCTTCTTTCTCATTTTTCTTCATCTCTTCTCCTCTATTTACTTTGTCCTACATCTGCTTTTCCAAACCCTCCCTCCTTTTTTTTGGCCTCCTTTTCTATTAAATGTTAAGGAATTGAAATCAACAGTACCATAAGGAAAGCATTTCTTTTATTTACAGATCAGCCTTGGTGGTTTCATGTGCTGCTATTATGAGGAAGAAATCAAGGAAACCAAACAGTAAGGATTCTTCAAATTTTTTATTGAGTGTTTCCTCTCAATGGTATTTTATTTTTGAGGCTACATAAATTGGTAGCACTACATAAATTGGTAGCACAGTATTTTACCAGTCAAACATATTTACTTAATAATTTCCTTTTTTTAATTTTTATAGTAGCTTAAAGCCTTACTGAACTACAATTAATACCATTTTAAAATCTACAGGGGGACACCATGCATGATAAAAATGCAAAAAAATTATACTGTACCTTGTGTTAAAGGGTTATGTGTAGTCTTGCACATGTTAAATGACTGGAGGTGCCAATTTTGAATTTTCATGTGGTAGGAATAGCCTTGTTCAAATTTACTTGTTTATATACTAATATATTTTTTAAGTGAAACATCACCTCTTATCTAAATATGTGTTCACGTGGTGGTTCAATTTTTTTTTTTTTTCATTCATGTTTTCTTCCATTTGATTTCAAATTGGTTTTCAATCCTAAAGAAAAGGAAAGTTTCAACCAGGAATCACTGAAAATAGAATCTCGACATCTATTGAGAAACCTAGTTAAAAAAAAAAAGAGATTTAAACCATACATTTTGTATTCTTTTCTTTCTCAGAAAGGGTCAACATGGTAATTTACTATTATCAACAATAACTGGTCATCAAGGTCATCGTTTGGATGACCTGTCTGGCAGAGGGGTGGTTGCCCTGTTATCTCATGTGGTCTTGTCAATGTTCAGATACCTTGACTCCCATTGCTTAAGCCAACTAGTGAACCTTTTCCCGGTGAGAGGTTACTTTTTGATAAATGAAAAAGCTTAGTTGAATTTATCAGTGAAAGAACAATTAGATAAAAATGCAAAAAAATTAGATGAAAATGCAAAAAAAGAGAGAAAAGTAATTGTTAATTGAGGTAATTATATGTATATTACTTCTCCTAGGTTGGTTGTTAGTCTTGGTGTTTGTAGCCCCCCACTTCCCCCCTGCTCCTCCTCCTTTCACCTCCTTCCTCCCCCTTCCACCACCTTCCTACCCCTTTCTTCCCCTTCCTCCCCTTTGCACCCCATTCCTCCCCCTTCCTCTCTCTTCCTCTCCCTTCCTCTACCTTCCTCCCCTTTGCACCCTATTCCTACCCCTTCCACCCCCTTCCTCACCTCTCACCCCCTTCCGCCCCTCTCCATCCTCTTCTTCCTCTTACCCCTTCCTCCCCCTTCCTCCCCTTCCTCCCCTTTGCACTCCTTTCTCTCCCTTCCTCCTCTTTTACCCCATTCCTACCCCTTTCACTCTCTCCCCTTTCTCCTCCTTCCTCCCCCTTCCATCCCCTTCTCCCTCCTTCCTCCCCCTTCCATCCCCTTCTTCCTCCTTCCTCCCCCTTCCATCCCCTTCTTCCTCCTTCCTCCCCCTTCCATCCCCTTCTTCCTCCTTCCTCCCCCTTCCATCCCCTTCTTCCTCCTTCCTCCCCCTATCATCCCCTTCCTTCCCCTTCCACCTTCTGCCACCATCTCCCCTCTCTTCCCCATCCTTCCTCCCTCTCCGGCCCCCCTCCTTCCCCTTTGCACCCCATTCCTGCTCCTTCCACTCCCTTCCTCCCCTTCCTCCCCTTTGCACTCCTTTCTCTCCCTTCCTCCTCTTTTACCCCATTCCTACCCCTTTCACTCTCTCCTCTTTCACCCCCCTCCTTCCCCTTCCATCCCCTTCTCCTTCCTTCCTCCCCCTTCCATCCCCTTCCTTCCCCTTCCACCCTCTGCCCCCATCTTACCCCCTTTCTCCTCCTTTCTCCACCTTCCTCCCTCTCCGGCCCCCTTCCTTCCCCTTCGCACTCCATTCCTTCTCCTTCCATTCCCTTCCTCCCCTTCTTCCCTTTGCACTCCTTTCTCCCCTTTCTCTCCCTTCCTCCCCTTTGACCTCATTCCTACCCCTTTCACTCATTCCTACCTCTTTCACTCTCTTCTCTCTCACCCCCTTCCTCCCCCTTCCATCCCCTTCTTCCTTCCTCCCCCTTCCATCCCCTTCCTTCCATCCCCTTCCTTCCCCTTCCACCCTCTGCCACCATCCTTCCCCCTTTCTCCCCCTTCCTCCCTCTCCGGTCCCCTTCCATCCCCTTTGCACCCCATTCCTGCTCCTTCTCCCCCTTTCTCTCCCTCCCACCCCCTTCAACCCCTTTCCACCATCTTCCCCTCCTTCTTCACCCTTCCTCCCCTTTCCCCTCTTCCCCCCCTTCTTCCTGGCCAATCACAGTATAAAGTTTGTTTTTCTAAGCATTGAGTATTTTTTGTTAAAACCTCTTCACCATGTAAATTTTTTTCTTGCATTGATTTTTTCAGGATCGTAAGGAGCATCCTCTTGTGTGTCCATCTGGTGTTTCTTCCCTACTAGAGAGATGTCAAGAAGAGGATTTAAGTAAAAGACCAACATTCCATGACATAGTTCAGACTCTTGCCAAGGTGTTTGTGATGATAGTGTGAAATTTTTTCATTTGAATAGTTGTTAAACATGGCATTTTCTGTTTTGAAGAATATTTGCTTACAATAATTATAGTTGCCAACTGTGGTACAAGATATTAATGCATAAGTGAGTGGAATAATAATTATTTTGCCACAATAACAAACAAATACTCATTAGTGGGGAAAGAAAATAAGAGCAGTTGCTGGTCATACACCTTTTTGCCAAATGCATTTTCCCACAGTTTGAAAACTGGCCCTTAAACTGTACTTAAACCCCAAAATTTTTTTTCACTTGATGAATTAAGCGTATTTTTTGGAGTATTTCTGTGCAAAAAGTTTTTTATTTGCTCAAATCTTCAATTTTCTGTGCCCAGTCAAAATACGGAAAATCAGCCGCCATCTTGCCCCACGACCGAGTTTAAAGAGGAGTGGCTCTAGCGGGTAATGCGACGTCAAATTGAGAACACGAAAGTCTGCATTTCACACATTTTCACTTGTTTGGGAAGGTTGTAGTTGATATTGTTCGAAAATATGCCGACTAAGTGTGTTGCCGAAGGATGAAGCAACGTGCGAAATTGCAGGAGGGTTTTGTGCTTCATACATTCCTCACACAACACGCTTAGTCGACATATTTTGGACAATATCGACTACAACCTTCCCAAACAAGTGAAAATGTATGAAATGCAGACTTTCGTGTTCCCGATTTGACGTTACATTACCTGCTAGAGCCGTTCCTCTTTAAACTCCTTCATGGGGCAAGATGGTGGCCAATTTTCCATATTTTGACTGGGCACAGAAAATGAAAGATTTGAGCAAATTAAAAATTTTTGCACAGAAATACTCCAAAAAATAAGCTTATTTCGTTAAGAGAAAAAAAAAATTTGGGATTAGGTGCACTTTAACTGTCTGATTGTTGTAGACACCAACAGTGCTCCAAGCTGACACCAACAGTGCTCCAAGCTGACAGCAACAATTTTGGTGGCCTTGGCAACTTGAAAAAAATTTTTTTTTTCCTGGTGACCAATTTATGACTTTAAGTCAACAAATCATAACTCTGAAAATGTTGAGCTTGGAGTGCTGATTACATGTGACAACTGCACTTGCAGGTTACATGGAAAAAGGATGTAGTGAACTTTGAGACCACTTACATATCTACTAAAATAAATTATTTTTATTAATTTGTTCTTCAGGAAAGACCAGCAAAGTTCTGTTTTACAACAAGCAATTCATCTACTGAACCTTGTGAACTTTCATATGATCAGGGAGAAAATGTTTGGGTTATATCTCAGGACACAAGCAGGTAAAGGCCGTCTTTTTGTGAGCACCTTTCCTACATGTAGGTACCAGCAGTAACTATACTTTAGATTTTGGGGGATATACTGACTTACTGCTCCTATTGGTTTCTATATGAAGTTTACAGTGCTTATTTTATGATGCATGGTGCTTGTAAGGCAATGCTTGTTGTATATCTCATGTTATTATCCATCCATTAGATTTTGCTATTAGCTACTTTATGTCATTGGATGCACAGTCAATAATTGCAGTATCATGCAATAACCCCTGTGTACATCGTTATTTGTCCTCTCTGGTTATTTCCATATAAAAGAATCAAAAGCCAGCTAAAGAATTTTACTTTAATCTCATTTTTGTTTATTTACATGGAAGAAAAACAAACTGGTCCAGAGATACTGACAAGCTATAATTGACATGTTCTGTTTTCATGATTTTTTAGATATCATGGTATGTGGTTCGGTCAAAAAGAGAAAGGTGCTGCAGGATTCTTTGAAAGTGAAAAAGTAATAAGAACAGATGATGATAATCAGGGTATGTTAAATTTTTCTCAGTACTCTTTCTCTTAGATTTTGTGCCAAAAATCAAAGGTATCAGTACGCAGTAAAGAAATGAACTGTTTATTTTTACAACAATGATTATATAATGATGACTATGAAATGATAACTAAGGACTTATCAGTAATTATTGTACTTATAAATCAGATCACTTTCGCCATTTGTTTTGAATTGCATGTTTATGTTGGAGGCAAAATGATTTTTCAGTGGCCAGAATGCATACATACTATTTTTTTTTACTTTTTCCTTCTAGTACCTCATGAAATAAGAGCCCGGGGAATTGAAGCACAACTAGCCTACAACATTGCTCTCTTAGAGGGAAAAGTCAAAGTGTGCCGTGCTCGACTACTGATCATTGGCCAAGACAGGGCAGGAAAAACAAGCCTGAAGAATTCACTAATGGGTTTGCCCTTTAATCCCAATGAACCAAGTACTGAAGGTTTGGAAGTAAATTCATCAAAACTGGAAGTTAATGTGGAGCAGTTAGTTGAATGGAAGGCTGTAAGTGAGGAACATAAGGATGTAGAACAGGCTTCACTGCAGAAGAGATGTATCGCTAGACTGGTTGCCAGTCAAATGCTGGAGAAGAAGGAGACAAAAGCAAGCCAAACTTTGCCTCCCGAGGAGAAAGAGATGCTGGATGAAAAAGACGTTGCACAAGAACAGGTAAATTTTCCATAGGTTGAGATAAATCATTTTTGATCCTCTCCAATAACAAATATTTCCCAAAAAGGATAAAAAGCTACATTTGGATTATTAAAATTAAAAAGTGGTTCTGGACAAAAAGTAAAGCTTGATAATAAAATTTGCAACAAGAAATATTGTTATTGAAGCTGATACATGGGTCAACCTACTTGTTTTAGAGTTACAGAGACATAACACTTTAAACAGTACTGGTATCCATAAACATCGGGAAAGTGATTACAACTTGTCTTGCAACTGTTGGATGTTTCCCTCAGACAATCTTTGAGGAAACAGATGAACAAGTCTTGTAGCCTCAGTCCATCAAAGAATTCTACATTTACATGTACATAATTAAAAAAAACTTTTTTGAGCCACCTCAATGTATTTACCTAACATTCATCTTGTACTGTGTTATTTGTCCCTTCACAGCTGAATGGGTTACATTTCACTGCAAATCCTCCAGCATCCAATCTAACTCAAGAACCGAGAAAAGTATTTGCACAAGACTTAGTCAATGGGTCCCGAGAAAAACCAACTCCGAAACCAAAAATTGACATGCCAGATGAATTAACCCCACTTGTAACAGAGTGTCTCAAAAGTCCAGAGAAAATTGATGGTAACAGTGCAACAGAAACTGTTCTTGACATCTGGGACTTTGCAGGTCAGCATCTGTACTATGCGACCCATCCCATCTTCTTCTGCCACAGAGCCATCTACCTTCTTGTTCATAACCTGGAGAAAAAACCAAATGACCTTGCAGAGCCATCATTTAAGCATGGAGACCATGTAGTACCCTTGAAGAACACATCAAATGAGACAAACTTGGACATGCTGTTGTCATGGTTGGTTTCAGTCCACAGCATTTGCAGGCCCCCAGTGGAGCATGATGTCAAAGAATTGTGTAAGTCAAGCTTGCGCTGCCTTCCCCCACCTGTCCTTATGGTGGGGACACATGCTGACAAGGTTTCAACCCAAGAAATCAAACAAGTTGAGTCTGAGATCAGTAAAAGTCTTAAAGGCAAAACCTACCAAGAACATGTACTGTCTCCTTTTTACAAGGTTGATAACAGGCAGTCATCAAAATCACGTGAGGTTCAACAGATCCAAGCAAAAGTGCAACAGATATTGTCATCAGGGCTGATTTCAACCGCAGACCTTCCTGTGAAGTGGTTCAATTTTGAAAAAGCTCTAAAGAGTCGAACAGAAGGTGGAACTTTCTTCTTGACCCTGGAGGAAATCCACACAGTTGCACAGGAAGAATGCTACATTGAAGACAATGAACAGCTGGACACTATGTTGAACTACTTCCATGACCTTGGTCTGATTGTGCGATTCACGGACATAGTAGTTCTTAATACACAGTGGCTGGTCAATCTCTTTAAAAAGCTGATCTCCACTTGCCATTTTGAAGAACAGGTTAGTGGAACAAAGAAGTAGTTTATCGACAGGGCTGATCTAAGCTGTAACCTTTTTGGAAGTGGACAAAACTATTTTCTCGTCACTATAAATTTTGTAGTCTCATCGTTTGACCCCGAAGATTGACCAGTATCTAATTTCTCCTTACATTTATCACCTTTGAATCACACATTAATAGCACAATAATAAAAGAAGTGATCATCTAGTAAAAATGCTCTTGATTTTTAAACAAATTCTTCTAGTCAGCACCTTTAGAAACATGCATACTGGAGAAGGTGCATACTGTTGTTGGGTTGTACATGTAAAGAACTAACTAAAGGTTAATTTTGCACATGTTGTATTGTTACTGCTTTGAGAGAGACACAAGCTTAGGGGAAAGGTGTGCCCCTAGATCTGCTAAAATTCTCATCCTACCGTGAAGACACTGTCCAAGAGTTTATATCTATGTCATGTTTTAATCTTCAGCATCTCAAGTTGTTTGTTCCTGAAGCAATAGAACTTAATCTTTTTATGATTTGATTAACTTACTTGTAGATTTGTTTTTCATTTTCTCTTTGTAAGGATCCTGTTGATCGCAAGTTATGGGAGGAACTTGAAGAGACTGGAGTCCTACAAAAGGAGCTCATTGACAAAGTGTTTGAAGATTTGGAAGAGGGTAGATACAAGTCATTGCAGCAAAGTGTCTTAGAGATGATGGAAAAATATAGCTTTGTGGCAAAATTTCAACATCAAATAGAACCAGACCAACAGCAGAACATTTCCTGTGAGGGAAAAATCGTCAAATATTTTGTTCCTGCTCAATTGCGTCTATCAGATTCTGCCCTACAGAAATTAGTGCCACAAGAGGGTGATCCGTGTGCCCTCATATATAAGTTCTGTGATGGGTTTGTTCCACATGGCTTATTCCCTCAGCTTCTTTCACGTCTTATTGCACGTTGTCCCATCTTGGAATGCACCACACCCCCGAAATTGTACTGTGATGCTGCTCGCTTTATTTTAGGGAAGAGAGGTCAATATGATCTTGTTCTTCTTTGTAGCAAGCATTACATTAAGGTGGTATTAAGAGGGTACAATCTTAACATGTCCAGTAATAGTCTTGAAAATGGAAAGAGTATGGCGTGCCAAGTGAGAATCTTAATTGACGGTGAATTGCGAAGCTTATCTGAGCAGTGGCAATGGCTGAGAAATGTACGCTATAAAGTGTGTGTTACATGCTCTGCTTGTAAATCTTCTGATGTGCTGTGTAAACGGCACCAATCAGCAACATGTTTGGATCAAGATTGTCTTCACTTTTTACCCATCAGTTCTGAGGTAGTGGATCCGTCAACACCTTTTATTTGTCCAGAACAAGTAGGGAACCATTCTAGGTTCACTGTTAGTAATCTTCATCTTTGGTACTGCAGCATTGAGGTAAGATGATTGTTATTATGTAGTTCTATTTAGATTTCATGTATTTCTACCAAGCGTCAATTCATTGATCCCCATATTTATGTCTAAGTATGTATTTTTGTGTGTGCCTGACCTGAAGACGGTACCATGTATTATTGTATACTACCATTTAAAAAAAAAACGGTTATTGAAAAAAAGCATATAAATGGACATGACAACCCCAAAAGGTATTTCTGGTAGTTTAAATGTAGCTCACAGTTACTTGACCTCAAGATTTGAAGGAAATCTGAGATAATGTTACTGTTAGGTTGATGCATAGTAGGTTGGATGAATTTATTTATTTATTCGACTTGTTAAAATTAATAATTGATTACCTTTCATGGTTGTCGCTTGCGCTTTTTTTTTTTTTTTTTCGACAACCCTTCTCAACACAAAATGGAGGAGGAACGTTTTAATACAGATACTAGTAAACTTTTAAATTTAGCAGGCTGTACAGTGAAATACAACCCACCAAATTGACCAATAACAGTGCATGACATTGTACTTTCTGAAAAATACAACAATAATTATAATGTATGTTATTGATTAGTTGCTTTAAATGCAACAGCTACATCAGTTTATTTTTTACTTGCAAGGAGTTAACTGCTGCCTGCTTTCCTTTGACTAGGATAACCCTCCAGAAAGTCCTCAACTAGCAAGGATAGCGGACATAGACATTACACGATTAGCTAAAGAAATTGTTGAAGTGTGGAAGAAAGTTGCAAGGCTTTTGGGCTTGGAGGATGCAATTATCAAGCAAATTGCAATAGATGAGAAAGGCAATGTCTATGAACAAAGCTATCAAATGCTGTTTACATGGAAGAAAAGTCAGAAGAATTCAGATGCACTATGTGGGCAGTTATAAGATGCTCTGTGTGATGATCTAGTCAAGAAAAATAATGTAGCCCAACAATATTGCTACCTGCCCAAAAAATAATGTTGGAATAATCAGGTGTATGATACATCTCAAGCCTATATTTCTTGAAGAAATATTTCATGTTAAAATAATAATTATTAAATAACTACACATAGTAACTTTATCTTGTCAAACTTCATTGATTTGTGATGTATGCAATAGAATTTATTTGTTGAACAACTTTCATCTTCTAGTTGTCTTAAAGTGGCTAAGAGCTCTTTTTTTACCCTTTATTAAAGATAATAATGAAATGAATTGTACAAGACTCAGGAGCTTTTATAGTTTGGCATAGTTATGTATGTCTCCCATAAATGGTTATCGTAATCAACAAAAATTTAATTTATCTTTTTAAGAACAGTCTTCAGTAAATTGACAAATTTTGTATGTGATCTGCTGCAGATTTAGTTATGTTATGTGGGGTCCATTTCCAAGAAAGATATTAATGAGGAAACATGAGCAAAGAAAGGTTGCCACCATCCTAGAAAATTTGTTAGTGTTCAATACTATCAGTTTAGCAGGCAACTGATAAGATTTGTTGCCCTGAGGAGAAAAGTTTCTACATTGTTCACAGTGTACCTGATAGTTAACACTAGGTCCAGGCAACAGGGAATGGTACGTAATTTAAGCTTTTCTATGAAAAAAAAAAAAATTCGTGCAAAGGCTATGTTTGCAAAGTGAATTACAAAATATTGGACAATAAATTTTAGAATTGTCATTTGTGTTGGCAGTTTGTCATTAAAGAAATAATTAATTAATAGACCTACCATTAAAGTTTCTCCTTTTTACCTCCCCTACTCACCTCCCAGTTAGCTCAAAAGTTTAGACCGCCGGATTGTGATGTGGGGGAGGTCGAGGGTTCGAGTCCCGGTCAGACCAATACTCATGGTCTTAAAATAAGTGAGGAGAATTTGCTACCTTTTTATAATCAAGAAATGGTTAGATATTCTAATCTTCTCGGAGAAGGATGAATAAAAACCGTAGGCCCCGTCTTCTGCAGGGTTAGGGGTAGGAGACGTTAATTTCCCACGCACGAGATTGCTGTGTGGTGGATGTCCTCCCCTGGGTGGGATGGGTGGGTGTTTGCCCTGAAAAGCCCCTATGGGGAGTGGTCAATTAACCTATGTATGTATGTATGCACTTAGGCATCCTTGACTCCTGCTTTGATCATGGTCGTTGGCATTAATTTCATCAGGCAGTGAGATACTAACAACTCATTATTACCCGGTGAAAGTTACAAGATCAACTTTTGGAATCACTTAGAACTTTCTTTATTCACACTGTTCTTTCTGAATGACTTAGGATTCATTTCTGAGTCATTTATTGATTTAATTTGATTTAATCGCTTCGCCAACTGGCAGGGACATCGCAACAGCCTGGGCCAATTACTGCGGACCCATTTCTTTTTTCAGTTGGTTGTAAAAACTGCTGAAGCTGTAAATGAACAGTGCCAAAAAGTGTTTTCCCTTACTTAAACACGATAGGAAAAATATATTATTAGCTGTTGAATTCTCAAGAACTCTAAGTGACTATTAGCAGCAATAAGAAGCACTATGGGTGGTAAATTTTACAGGTTACAACCTGAAATGGAAACAGAGCTTTGGACTTTCCAATGGTGGTCACCTTTTTAAAAAGCCAAGTAAGAAATGAGGAAGTGATTAAACAGTAGACAAGTGTGTACTCTCCTTTGCAGCAATCTTCGCCATTGTGTCACATGACAAGACCACTAAAAAGACCAATTATCAAGAGATTACAGTTGTTTCCTTATCCCCTGCGAGCACCTTTTTAACCTGTCCTGGAATCGAAAAGGGAGAAAGGCTCTGCCAACATCCTGTTGTTGCTCATTTGAAAGTGTGCAGCGGTTGCCTAGATACTGATCCTTTTCCAGGCCACCTTGAACTATTGTGAGCACAGATTTGGTTATCTGTGTACATGAAACACAAAGGCTTTCACACCAAAACTGGTTTGACTAGCCTGGAGTTTTGGGCTTTRGGCATTTCAAAGCAACAACAGGATGTCAGCAGAGCCTTTTCCCTTGGAGGTTAAAAAGAAGAAAAGAAAAGGCTCTGCTCTCAGGGTAGTTTCCTTAGAGATTTCATTACACCAAAAAAAGGTTAGTTGCTTGGGACTGAGTGACTAAACTGCAATGAACATTTTGACTCCTAAGAGTGACCAACATTGAATTTCTCCATAAAATATTACCTACAAATCAATCATTAAGGTTGTTCCAATAAAGGAAATGATTACCAACTACAGCAGCCTTTGATTGTTAGAGAAATTTTCCCTGTCAGCAGCTTAGGAAATATAAGGAGAAGACTCAAGGGTTTCAAAATGTTTTGAAGTAGGCAGCCAACTCTGGAAAAGTAGGTGGCTGTAATAACAGAGATTGTTTGTCACAAGCAGACTGTTATAACCAGAGTAGCCCGTGACATACAATCAAGTAGCCAGCGGAACTCCAGCAGTCGCTAGCTTGTTTTGAAACCATTGAAGACTGTATGGACAATATGCATGCAGGCGTTAAGGTGTTAAGGGTGAGGAGAAGCACACAGGATCCACAACATCTTTTATGAACTATTTTTTACTAAGTCATTTCCATTACTTGGGACATTTTTAACTGTACAGCATTTCACACTACATAATTTGCTGTTCACAAAACACAAACAAGTTAAGTTTGTAGAGAGTCCAAAATTTACATGTCAGGCAAATCTTGTCCCATCCTTGAAAATCATACAAACTTTTAAAATATCAGTAATTCAGCTGATACAGTCAGATCAGTCCAAAAATTTAGGCATCCTTGAATCGCACACTGAGATACAATTTCTTGAACTCATCGAAGCCAGCAAGTACACCAGCACCTGCCATACCACGGAGGATGTTTGCCCCGGCACCCTTCATCAAGGACATGAAACCCTCACCCTTGATGATCTGCATAGTACAGTCAATGGAACCCTTGTACTTCACTGCTTCTCCGGACGTCATCATCATACGTCGACGGATGGTGTCGATTGGATAAGAGGCCAGGCCAGCAGATACTGTCACACCATAACCCAGGACAAATGAGATGAGCAGTCCAGCATCTTCACCCAACAGCAGGGGCTTCAAGGTATCATACAGACCAAAGTAGAAGCCACGGTACACAATGATACCAACACAGGAAATGACAAAACCTCTGTACAGACCAGCAATACCATCAGATGCCAGTGTCTTGCGGTACACATCAATAATGCCATTGAACTGCCTTTCACCACCCTTAGAACCTGCCTTTGCATCATTGGCCAGCCTTGTTCGGCAGTAATCCAGAGAGTAAACAAACAGCAAGGACATGGCACCCGCAGCTCCACCAGAGGCAATATTCTTGCTAAACTTGGTTCCATAAGAATCAGTTTTCTTGGGCTTGAAAAGGGCCTTAATCTGATCCTTGAAAGCAAAGTTCAAAGCTTGTGTTGGAAAGTAACGGATGCAATTGGCAAGGTTACCTGGAGAAGAGCAAAAGAGAATATAGTTTTATTAAGCATTTGACTCCCAAAAATTATTGACACATGGCTTTCCCCTATAATATTCATATATCATCCAGCAAAATAGTAGTGAGAATAGTCAAACATATCAGAAGTTGTTAATAAACCAAATTCTTGTAATAAATTTACACGGAAAAGTGTAGCAGCTAGAGGGGAGAATTTACAATCAGATCTTTGGAGTTAAGGGTTAGCAGATGTTTCGTTGAAGGACCTTAATGCTGTTTGCATGAAAAGAGGACACATGATGCAGTTCTGAACCCTAGATTAAATGTGTTCTTTACACCAGCAAGACAATTCAAGTCACTTTCTGTGGAAGGGAGAAAAGTGACTAAACAAAAACCTTTTGTGCATGGAGGATAACCATCAGCTAAATCAACCCTCAAGTTACCCTGACTTCACCAACTAAACTTGAGTCATTTTGGTAAAAGGTTAGTGCCCTACACACAGCACCATGCCTACTATACCACTCCCACTGCCAAATTTTGAGTACACCACCAGATGGAAACGGGGCTCGACACTAACTGTAGTCCACTAGCCACAGCCTAGTAGAAATTCAGTTTTGGCTGGTAGTTTTTAATTTCCACTAGCCAGTTTGGCTAGTAAACAGACTGAAATTGTCGTAACATCAAAAAACATCAGATGTCACCAGCCACTTGGCTAGTAAGCCCTGGGAATATTAAATATTCTCTGACAGCACGAACTGCCTACAGAGGCAGACCACCCTATGAATTGAAACAACTCACCTCTCCAGAATGACAGAAAACCCTCAGCTTTGTATGTCCTCATCGTACAGTCAACAACACCCTTGTATGGGGTATCCAAGCGTCCTGCCTTCAACATCTCATCTTGATTCTGAACAAGAAGCTTCACTCTTTCAATTGGGGCAGCAGCAGTCTTAGAAATGATAGCAGCAGCACCACTAAGTCCAAAGTTCTCTACAAAATGTAGTTTTTTCTCACTGGGTACCACCTTTGCCATCTGAAAGAAATGAAAAAAAAGGTTACATTTATCTCACAAATGTAGAAATAATCTACTGGTTGCAAAATAAAACTTTACAACTAAAAACGTTCAAACAAATACAGACTTCACCAAAAAAAAAATTGATAATGTTTTTATTTTTTAAGCCAAAGTTTTATGAGGGGTGGGGGTGTACAAATTCTAATTTTGCTCATGACTAGAAACTCGACAGTATCTCGGGAACAGCAGCGCGCTTCTTTAATTGGAGAGTTGTCTCCCCTACTTAAAAAATGCAGGCCTATGCCAGAGCTGTTGTCCTTTTCTTCATGTAGGAGAGCTCATCAATTATCAGAATATGTACAGTTAGTTACGAGGACAAGTTAACACATGTACAAGTTTTAGTGACAAGAGTTGCGATTCGATTTGCACTTCCTTTATTTTCTTATCACTGAGCCTTAACTGCATTACACTTAACCTGAACTATCATTTCACGAAAAAACACAACGTATACAAAGTAATTGGTAACAAGGTTTTCAGGAAATAATATTCGCCGCGTGAGACGGCGAGTGAAGTGCATTTCAAAGTTGACGAAGCTTGTACCTGCGGAAACTATCGAAGGAATGCAGAGAAAACGTCACTTCCGAAAACGAGGACGATATCAAATTAAAAGGTGTTAAAAGAAGTTATTGATCAAGATTGGGTATAAGAGCAATCAACTGATATTTAAGGACTTTCGTGTAGCCATCTGAATATCGACAAACGTAAAACTTTTTAATGGAGTTTAATCTTAACTGAGCCACGTGACCTTTCACGCTGGAACATCTTCGACCCGCATAGGCGGAATTCAAGGAAAAACTCTATAACATTTTAAATTAAAGAAGGCTGAGGTAAGCTTTAGAGCCGGCGTTTCTTCAACATCTAACAAGGATCACCAAGTTTTCGTAACTTTGCGATCGAATCGAATCTTTTGCGCGAGAGACGCTCTCTAATATCACAAGTTGAAATCCCAACTTACACGAATTATTTGCTTCATAAAGAAACAAACCACGATCAATAGGAATTAAAAACGTCATATAAAGAAATAATCACTTACTTTGAATATCCTAGAGTAATGAATCAGCCAAAACTACAAAACACTCGACAAGAAGCTGGGCTCCGACCGGCGAAATCCGTAGACCTTCGTTGTAAGGGAAGATCAAAGGTTGTAGAACGCATGTAAGCCACGCATATTTCATCTGATTGGCCAGATTTTTACATGTGACTAAGATGTTGGGAATGGAGACGAGCGACTTGGAACGCCTTGCAGATATTGCAGCGAGTAACTCAATGCATAAAATATTCCCAATACATGGAAAGTTGATAGAAAGCGGTTTTGTTTGTCAAATCGATAAGATGTGAGTTTTGGTATCATGTAAGTTTCTTATCATGGATTTATATTACAAAGAGTTACGTTAACATGCCGTTTGGATGGGAAAACTTGGATTTTTATCGCGGGTCAATTTGTGTTCTTTGACCTAATTAACAGATATTTGCAACCATTACCGATGTAGCGAGCTTCAGAACGTACTCAAATCGTCAATGATACTGCTGCTTTTTTATTTGTTAGTTTCGTCACCAACGTGTGAATGCAATATTTTAAATATCAGGGGAAAAAGTTAAGTCCACCCGTGTGGAATGAAGGCAATTTATATTAGAGCACCATATTTAATACCACACCCCCAAAGTTTCGACACACTTGCTGGTACGTACAGAATGTTTAGTTTTACTTTCGTTCCACCCTTCCTTGTCTAAATCTCTTTTAGGAGTCGCATTTGGAGATCACCAAAGGCAGATAAAAATGTAAGTGTGGTGGTAGTTGTCACTTTAAAACTAAAACTTTAGTTTTTGTATTTTATCTTAGAAAGTCAGTTTTCAAGCCATCAACTGGAATAAATAGATCACCTGTATTAAATTAGATAAGAACTCTGAAGCCATTAAACCCTTAAACTCCCAAGATCTGATGGTTAATTCCTCCTTCTGGCTGCTACATTTTACCTTTTAAATTAGTTACAAGAATTTGGTGTTAAATCAAGACAACAGTAATGTCTACTTGATAAGTATTCCCCAGTGCTACATGTAAGTCTTCATTATGGCTTTCTGTGGGTTTGGGTGTATGGGGCAATACAGGTTATATAATAAAAAAGCTTATATGAGCCCTGGGAGCCTTTCCTTGTAAGTCAATCTTTCTACCCTATTAGTTAACCCATTCACTCAAAAGATCCATAGTCAATTCTCTGCACTGTCTGTCATATATTTCCTTTAGTTTGGTTCAGAGAATTTGGTGTTTAATCAAACAGTATCCTTTATTTGATAACTTCATTTCTTCTTGTCACTTTTCTGTTAGAAATGACCTAATATTGTCAAGATAAATTCCTTTGTAGTATCTCCAGCAAGTGAAAGGGTAAACAAGGTGGTCATGTGGTAGAGTTCCTGTCAATATTGCCAAAAGTATAATGTTCTTCTTGTGCAGGTCCCAAGCTGTCCTAAAGTTGAGAATTTAACAGAACTTGACAAGCTTTATCTTCTTCTGGCTGAACACAGCCTTGGAGATAGCTTCAATGTGTTGTGTTATGACCTGAAAATCCGTTCTATTAATGATTTGAATGGATTAGATGATGAAGCACTGAAGAGACTTAGATTTCTTAAGTTTGGTAAAGATCAGCTGAAACAACTGCCACAGAAAGTAGGGAAAAATGATTTTGTTAGTTTGGCACTGGTAGGTATAGGTGTCCTGTGTGTGTTCTGCAGTGAAACTAGTATTGGTATGCTAAATCTACTGGTATGTTTAGCACCTTAACCAATAACAGTTGAAGCCTTGACATAGAAGTTTACCCTAACATAAGCTCATAGTAAAGGCATGAAGAGGGTAAGTTACTTCTGAAAGTGTGGTGCTGTGCTGGTGGGGGAAAACAACAAGATAATTTTGATAATTTGATGATTTTGCATTACTACTGTATTTTAAGTAGGGTTCATTACTGCAAGGATCCCTTTCATACATTTCATTAACCTGCGGTACACACAAATGATTTTCACTTAAATTCAAATTCATTGATTTATCACTTCGACGGGTTTAATATGAAGCAATGTAATAACCAGTTCCTAGTTGGCTTGTTAGCTCAGTCAGTAGAGTACTGCACTGGTATCGCATAGGTCATGGGTTCAAATCCTGTATGGGCCTGAATTTTTTCAGGCCTTATTTCCACTACTTCGTAAGCAGGGCTCATCGCAGGGAGGATCGCTTTCATACGTTTCATGAAACTGCAGTACACATAATTATACGATTTTCAAATATTCAAATTCAAAGATAATTTTGTGTTATCAACTGGTGAGTTTATATTCATGTAGACTGTTCCTAGTAAATAGTTTCTAAAGCTTAATCAGCCACTGTGACAAGAACAAAGCCCAAAATCAACTACAGCTTATCACACTTCTTCAGTGAATAATCTGATACATCATGCTAAGTACAGATAACCAAGCTACTCTATTTACCTTTTGACCCCTGAGAGTCACTAGGACCACACAATTAGAATAAAGAAAATTATCACCACAAAAAGAAGCTATAAATTGTAATCAGCATGTCAGGAAATGTGTGGAGAATACTATGATTATAGAGAATATACATACAGATCTCAAGGTGTAAAGAAACTGGTAGGGAATTGCAAAGCCAAGCAAGTTGCAGCATATGCACTCAGGTGTTAGTAGATTTCTACTGATGATGATAAGTTGCATTTGCAAAAATTGCTCAGTGTAACAGTTTTTTTTTCCTTTATTATAATAGAAATATGGGAAACTTCCTTACAGAGCCCAATTAGAGTCCCATGGAGTACCATTTATATCTGTGGATGAAATTCATGTTGTGAAGAAGACTGCGTCAGGACCAGTATCAGGATCTGTTTTTGAAGCCATCTGGACAAAATCTAATGGAGAGAAGGTGTTTAAAAAGTAGTATAATAATATTCTGAATGGTATGACTTAGGGAGATTTGAAATTGTTACTAATTGCTTATGGCCAAAATTTATTTTTATCATGTAAACTTTTCTCCAAGTATTGAACTTTTGTTTTTTAACCCTTTCATTCCATAGATATTAAGAGTAATTCCCTTACTTTCTACCATACAATTCATATATTATAAGTTTGGAGAATTTGGTATTGGATCAACTAATCCCATAATTAATATTTTTCTTTTTTTCTTAACACTTGTCTGCTTGATATTGTATCAATTTGATATTGTAAGGAGAAAGTTTATTTTGGTCACCTATATAGTTAGTGTCTAATGAGTGAGAACAATTTGTTACATGGTGAATGAGTCATAATAAAAGTGTTTTTTAATGTTTTTGTTTGTTTGAGGAAATTTCCTGTCCTTGATATCACAACCTCCACTGATTACAATTATGGGAGCTTGATCAAACACGACCCATTGAAATTAAAATTTACTCTGACTTATCAGTTGAAATCTGGGGCTCTTTTTACTGTTTACAGGTAGAAGTATGTAGTCCAAGATAGTTGTGGAACTTTTGCTCATGGGTGAAGCCATGATCATAATGATTAATTATTATACCTCTCAGTCAGAATATGGGCTGTGATTGGTCAATATACTGGGTTGTGTTTCACTGTGCACCCCGCTAAATTCAAAAGTTTGTTTGAATTGGAAACCTCCCCCTCTGTTTGAATTCAGAGATATATTAGATATACCCTCGTTTTCTTGGCCCTTACTGTAAGCTACAGAACCTTGTTATTTTCCATTGTAATTTATGGCTCACATGCTTTGCAATTGGACCATAGATATCTCAGTTTATAACTTACAGTATGGACCTCAAACTCAGTTTACAAGAGGTATATATATCATTAAATGAATACATGTATAGCCAGTACTTCTTTCCATTCAGACCTCTATCTGCATGCTGAATGGCACTTTAATTAAAATTGTAATGGGGGCCATTTTACTTCATTATGTTCATTTCATATTTGCAGATTCGAGTTTGTTTGAGGTATGATCGAGGTCAAGCCCAAAGGAAGCATTTTCTCCATGAGGCAGAATTAACAGCTTCAGTAAATCATGAGAATCTCCTTCATCTTTATGGAGTGATTCTTCCAGGACTGTACACTGACTCTGTAGCTCTGGTATGTGAACATATCAGAAATAAACACTTACATACCATGTCTAATAAAAGCAACTTTGAAACTTGTACCTTTTACAGGCTCTGAATTGAAGATGAAAAACTGAGAATCTGTAACTAGCAGTTTTTATTTCATAGTTACCGGTATCAACTTTTTTTTAACACTTTGACCCCTTTGTGTGACTAATTTCTCCACACAATATCACCTCTAGATCAAAGATTAAGGTCACAAGAATAAAGGAAATGATTGCGAACTAAAGAAGCTCTCGATTTTTGTGGAGGATGTGCATATTTTTGTCGAGGGTGCACAGGTTTGCAGTCTGTACATTTCTTAATTGTGAGAACAATTTAACAGTAGCAGTAGAGAGTTTTTCAGTTTGTGATCTTTTTCTGTGTTCTCATAACCGAAATGTTTGATTCCACATTGATATTGTAAGGAGAAATAAGATGCTGGTCACCTTATTCTCTTATGTGTATACTTCAACAACTCTCCCCCCCATGGGTGGAGGGGGATGCTGGGATGTTGAAGCTTTCATATTGAATTTTTGGCACACTACTCATAAAACTCTTTACTTCTTAACATCAACTTATACACATTTTCCACCGGAGAATTGTTGAAAATTACAAGCCTCTTTCACTGGGAATCATTTCCATTACTCTTTAGACCTTAATGCGTGATTCAGGGATTATTGTAAGGAGAAAAACGATGCCTGTTACTCTTAAGGGTCAATATTTTTTTTCTTTAGAGAAATTACTGTATTTACCCTCGTTTTGGCCGTATTTTTTTGATGAAAAACCACCTTGAAAGTTTGCAGTGCGGCCTCTATGTGGGTGCAAGAGTTCAGAGCTCATTAATATGCAAAGTTTCCTAACACAATAATCAACAAACTTTCTATTCACAATTTTATTCAATGCATTGTACGAGCTTACATTAAATTAGTCCATATCTTCCAAGAATTTTGCTTCTCTCGGCTGTTATAAGTTTGTCCAGCTTCCTAACACGTTTCTTATTATTTTGAAGACGTCTACTGTAATTTTCATGGAATAGCCATTCCTCCTCAAGGACCTTGTGAGTGAACCCTCTTTCTAGTCACTTGGCAAGAAATCTCTACACTGTTCTTAATAAAATAACAAGCAATATGGCTGAATTCTGCCAGCAGGTGTCCCACGAGTTTATTTCCAGTTGAATCGGTCTCATAAATTGTGGGTTTCCAGGTGTTTCCATATACATGATATCCTCGTATTTCACTTTTCATTTCATAGTTGCAAGTAGTTCCACCAATTTTCTGGTTAATTTTGGCCCGTACAACAGCTGAATCCTTGAATCACAAAGAACACGAGCGATATTCTCGATAACATTTGCTCTATTCGCTTTGCATAGAGAAGGGGTTCATTTTTTTTTCAATACAACTAGCCCAGTATGTAATCATGGTAACCCGCTTGTTGCACGCTGTCAAAGAATGAAAACAGGCAAATCACTCTCATTTTCTAAGAAATCACGAAGCCAAAAGGATCAACCAGAGTATCATATTCATCACATTTTAAATTCGTTGTCATTACTTGGGCTTTAGAGAAGGGAAACTGAGAAGCTGCACACCAATATGGGGTAGACAAGAAGAATGGACGAAGATGGAAGCATGTAAATCTTTTCTGCAAATGTTCCCACTCAAGAAGACGGTTTTCTTTCTTAGAGATGTTGTTTTGTTGTCAACTGAGAAATTAAAAAAGAAAGAGTTTTCTCAACTTTTTGGCTTGGATTGTGCTTTGTTACTGGAAAAACTTTCCCCTGAGATCAGGTCAATAATTCATAGTGCAGCCTATATGCGGGTGCGGCTTATATGCAGGTAGATACAGTTGTCAGATTAAGTTCTGTTTAGTGACTGTAGGCCAGTATTTGGCTGTAGAAGTTAAATCTTGGTTGAACTGTTAATTCAGTGCTGTACTTTGATCAATGATTTTATATAGGTGGTAGATTTTGCTGAATATGGGAACATCAATGAAGCCATGCCACTACAGTCAGTGTACAGTCTGGTGAAGGTGATTACCCAGATTGCAGCAGCCTTGGAATACCTTGACAGTAAAGGTCTGGTTCATATGCGAATAACACCTGTTTCTGTGTTTGTGGTTGCACCGGGCAAGGTACAATGTAGTGAAAATTTACCAAATTACCAAGTTAGCTAAAGTTAGGTATCTGAACTGGTTATTGATTATCAATGTAGAGGCCATTTTGTGCATCCACACCTTAAATCTTCAGCAGAATGAGGAAAAGAATAGCATAGGATCGGTAGTTAGGTTTTTGTTGAGGTATTCATGAAGTAGATCATATGCTGATGCACACTGACAAATTGGTTCTTGTTAAGTGTGCATTTTAAGCTCTCTTTGCAGTGATTCAATTTGGGCCACAAATCAACCCATTGGTGGCATTTTTAGATGCTTTTAAACTGTGCTTGGTTAACTCATGTTGTAGAACCTCGGCCTGCCATGTGGGAGGTTAAGGGTTCAAGCCCCAGAGTGGACCAACACTCAGGGTCATAAAATAACTTAGAGGAATGTGCTGCCTTTGCTTCAGCATCTGCCAATAGTAGATAGACATTCTAGTCATCTTAGATTGGGAAGATAATGTGAAGGTCCTATCTCTTTCTTCTTCTCTGTCTTGGTGAGCAGGGGATGTTAAAGGACCCACACACTACTTGCAAAAAGTAGGTAGCTAGCATTGCTCCTGGTGTTGTGGTCTGGCCTTGCTATTGTTCATACAGGCCCCCATTTAACCAGCTTTATAAAGTTGAACAGGGCCAGCCATTCTAACTATCACAAATGAATAAATAATGACAATACATGACGCAAACCATTTTTGTCATTAACTTGCAGGCCAAACTGGGAGGACTCTGGGGATGTTTTCGAAGGGACCAAAAAGAGTTAGTATAATAATCATTGATACTCTTGGTGTAGATTGTTTAAAGAAACTGTTTGAGTTTCCTCTCTGTTGTTTTGTTTAACATTTTCATGATAAATTTAATGTTCTGTTCTGTTTCAGGATGACTCAATCCTCTGTCAAATCTTCTACAAAAAAAGGGGAGGTAGTCTGCTGGTTTGCACAATTTGCTAAAGACATGTTTCGAACTTTGGCATTCCATCAAGATTTTTTATCCTCCACAAGAGAAAAGGTATCACCTTGATTGTAATGAATGCATGAAAAGATTGTCTGGGTTACCATTTCATTTACATGTAGAGTGTTTTTTTTCTTCCTGACCATCTTTTTGTGTTTCTTTCACAGCTTGTTAATAGAGCCCTCATGCCAGATGTGCTGAAGAATTTATTTGAGCAATGCAATGCAAAAAACCCAAAGAACAGACCACGAATGTCTGATGTAGCAAAAACTCTTTCAGTGAGTTTGTTTATTTTATATATTTATTTATTTAAGGATTTGTAGAACAGTACCAGAGCAAAAACAATAGGACATAAGTCCCCTACTAGGTTTAAGCTCCAAACCAACCCTCTCCTAAAATATTAACTTAATAATATAAATAGACTAAATAGGCTGCTGAACAAGTGCACGCAACAAGGGTATTTACCCGGCGACATTTAGGACAAATTATTTTAAAGGTACGAAAGTTGTTGCCATCAAGAACTTTGAAAAGTCTCTTGAAATAAAACGACTTAAGTCTACGCTTAAAAGAGTCAATAGACTCAGCCTGCCTAACATCATTATATATATATATATTGTTCCACAAATTTGCTATCCAATTAAAATAGAAGTCCCGAAATGTTGAGGTGTTCAATCAGTCACAATGAATTATGGTGACTGTTATGACTGTTATATGATCCGATGGAGGCCAAGGTATCAAACTCATTAAGTAATTTTTTTTCTTTACAGACGTTTTCTCTTCCCAAGCTACTGGTCAAAGCGGATTGTAATGGTCAAACATCACACAAACTCAGTTGTAAAAAGGGGGAAGTTATTCTACTGATTTCAAAAGCATTTCACTTTTTGTAAGTGCTATAGAACATCTTACTCCTTTAAAACTGGACAATTTTTCATCTGGTTGGTTACTTTAGTCAATAACCCTATGAAAAAGTAAGGCAAGACAAGGCAACACTTTATTCACATACCAGTAAATCAACTAAATTAAATGATAATTCTTTTATTTTACAATATTGTTGATTGGTTTAATCTTTATTTGTCTTTGTCGTAACATTTTGGAATTAGCAAGTCTATCTTGCAGGTGCCATGTTTGAACTGTTATTATTACGCGCTATTTAACAATTATTCCACGAATGCGCGTTGGAATAATTGTTAAATAGCCAACGAGGGGCGTAGCGCCGAGTTGGCTATAATCATCTCATATCCAACAAGCGGGTGTCCGGGTGTCTGGTCTTTTCGTCCGAGACTCTTTTCGTCCAAGTCTTTTCGTCCAAAAGTATTTTCACCTAAGTCTGTTCCTTTACTTGTGAAGTCTTTACTTGTGAAGTCTTTACTTGTGAAGTCTTTTCTCGAAGCAAATAAATAACCTTTAGAAGGTTAGATAAGGCTGTAGAAAGAACTTGTTGCGAGACGCCGCCATTTTGGTACCAATACCTTTAGTCACCAATCTTCGTTTACGAATTCAACGTCATGAATTTTACGATAAATACACAAACAATGAATGAAGTTGTAACGCGATATACTTTATGAAATAGTGGCAAAAGTAAAGACTTGCTTGCCGTTCAATTATTTCACGCGAAAGAAATGGGAATATTAGGCTTGTTGTTAAGCGTCTATTGAGCGTAAAAGCTAAGGGCAACGAAGTGTAACATCACTACGTGAATGGCTCGCAACAAGTTCTTTCTATAGCCTTATCTAGCCTTCTAAAAGTTATTTATTTGCTTCGAGAAAAGACTTAACAAGTAAACGAACAGACTTAGTGAAAATACTTTGGACGAAAAAATTTTTGGACGAAAAGACTTCTGGACGAAAAGACCGTAATTCAACAAGCGCGAGTGGAATAATTATTTTATTAAAAAAAAAAAAACTCCCCCATGATATCAGACAAATCTTCACGACTTTATTTTGTAAGAAGAAACCGTATGTTGCAATGTACAGATATTAGATTATGGTACATTGGCTCACATACCATAATGGGTAAGCCAATAAAAAGTCTTAAATTGCATTATCCAATGATCCAGTTTTTAATAATAGAAGTTGGTTACTCTAAGTGGTCAGAAGATTAAAGAGTTCATTTTATTTTGTTGCACAACTATTGTAATTAGCACCACAACTATTGTAATTAGCACCTAAACACTTGCACCTCGTTACTCACACACACACCAACCACAATACATGTAATTACCATATCTGCACCTGCACCCGTATATATCTGTGGACAACCTCATTAAAGTGCAGTTTTGAACACGATAAGTAACGGTCAACAATTTTATGTAGGGAAGAGAAAGTGGCCAGTTCTTCGGGAAATGAGGCGTGGCTGTGTGAAAAAAGGAATGGTTCGATGGGTTTGCTTGATCCTTCAAACGCAGAAGAACTCCTTGGTAAGGTTTTGTTTGTAATCTGATTGCTTAAACACGAAGGCGCGCTACAAAAGGAGCTTTAGGTCCCACTGGACCATTTGTCAATCAACCGTCGTGTGATGAAGAACTCTTAGAGTCAAGTCAGCTTGAGCTACAGCTACTCCAAAGCAGTGAACAGCGGGCGCATTCCTCAAAATTGTTTTCTGTCTTCATCACAATACAAGACTTTTTGAGATTTGTATTTCCTTTCTCCAATGGTAACTGTCTTTATTTGTGGCGGTAAATTTGAGATCGAAGTAGGTGGTTCGCACGTTACCTCATGCCACCATGCTGGTGGAAGTAAACAATAGATATCTCATTAGCTCCTTTTGTTCGTCTACCAGCATTTAAATTTGACCCGCACACGTCAACGGTGAGTGACAAATGAGCCTAGGTCTTCCCAGGGAAGACTTCCTTATATAGCGCGCCTTCGTGTTTAACTTGAAATCGACTCACAGTCCCTGGGTCTCCGAGGATGGTAACAGCCTTACCATTAGTAACTTCAAAAAGAAGCTTAANTGAAATGGTAAATTGGCCACCGTTACGATTATAAAAGCTGACGTTTCGAGCGTTAGCCCTTCGTCGGAGCGAATAGAGGAATTGTGGGTTGTGTGTGCTTTTAAACACGAAGGCGCGCTATAAAAGGAGCCTTAGGTCCCACTGGACCATTTGTCAATCAACCGTCGTGTGATGTAGAACTCTTAGAGTCAAGTCAGCTTGAGCTACAGCTACTCCAAAGCAGTGAACAGCGGGCGCATTCCTCAAAATTGTTTTATGTCTTCATCACAATACAAGAATTTTTGAGATTTGTATTTCCTTTCTCCAATGGAAACTGTCTTTATTTGTGGCGGTAAATTTGAGATCGAAGTAGGTGGTTCGCACGTTACCTCATGCCACCATGCTGGTGGAAGTAAACAATAGATATCTCATTAGCTCCTTTTGTTCGTCTACCAGCATTTAAATTTGACCCGTACACGTCAACGGTGAGTGACAAATGAGCTGAGGTCTTCCCAGGGAAGACTTCCTTATATAGCGCGCCTTCGTGTTTAATAAAGTGGTGCGAATTTTCTGGACCAAATCACATGGCAAAGAAAAGCAAAATCACAGCAGTCCTACATCACTTCCAACGTTCGATTCAAAGTTATCCGCGGTGTTCTTTTTGTTTTTATCCTTTCTTCTCCGATACTTAGTAGTTTCCAACAAATTGGAGAAAATTTTCGCGTCTAATTGATCAATTATCGGCGCTATGAAAACTTAAACTTCCTCTTTTGTTTCCCATACTTTCCAACTAACAGTGTTCGTTGAATTATCTTTTAAGGACACGAAGATATCAGTTGGGAAACGCTGAATCAAAATGTCGAAGAAGAGCCAAGTCAGACCTCATCAGAAGCAAAACCTGACAAAGACTCGACTGGTGAGTTCGAAAAACAAATAGTATTGAGTATTACTATCTTCTGCCGACACATGTAATGTGTACAAATCAGTACGACCAACCGGTTCTTAACCTTACACAACCTAGCATCAGTATGCATATTCTCCATACTGTTCTCTATGCATTTCCTAAGGTGCTGACCAGGAGAATTTGTTTAACAATCAAGAGCTTCTTTAGTTGGTGATCACTTCCTTTATTTTCACGACCTTAATATTCGATGTAAGGGTGATACTGTATGAAGAAATTAGAACCTACTTACTCTTAGTGGTGAAAGTATTAATGAAAGTAAACTTTTCAACCAAAAGTTAATTACAGGGCTCGACACTAACTCTTCAACTTACTAGGCAAGTGGCTTGTGACAACTTAGACGTTACAACGATTTTAGTTCGTTTACTAGCGAAACTGGCTAGTGGAAACCGAAAACTACTAGCCAAAACTGAATTTCTACTAGTCTGTGGCTAGTTGGCTACTGTTAGAGGCGAGCCTTGAATTGGAAGTCCGAGTTTGTTACGAGTACCGAGAAAGTTTCTTATAAAAACAGTTACCCTTTCAATTTATTGCGCAATTTTACAGTCTATGCAACAATTTCATTATTCACTTTTTAATTCATTAGGCAGAGAGATTGTATGAGGTTTTCTGCTAACAATGCTTTTCCAATTTTTTTTATTTGCTGTACAGTAGTGAATTTTGGACTCGTCCTTTTGCTTACAGCGCGGCTTTCATTATCTCGCTCGGGTTGGCTTCGTAAGAGATTCGCGCGAATGTTCCTGTTCATAAATCTTTATTTTCATTTACCAGTTCCTCCCGAGATCCAAGCGCGTGGAATCGAGGCAAAGCATGCTTTCCAGCGAGCACTCAAAAAGGGTAAGGTCCGGGTGTATCGTGGGCGCGTCATGCTGATTGGCCAGAACAGAGCCGGAAAGACAAGTTTAAAGAAGTCGCTACTGGGTTTGAAGTTTGATCCTGGAGAGGAAAGTACTGAAGGAATTGAAGTAGACCCGTCCCGCTTCGAATTGGACGTTGACCGCGTGATGAACTGGCAGCTTGTAAAGAACGAGAAATTTACGTCTGAGTTTGCGGATGATATTGCAAGACTTGTTGTGGGCGAGTTGCGCTCAGGGGACGAGGAAAAGAAACCAGAGGTCAACTCCTCGGAAGTCGAGCCTGTGCAAACTGACGTCACACAGGGAGCATCAGCGCCACAGAGTGACCAGGTATAGTGGGTAGACTGTGGGGATCGAGAATTTAAAAATGGGCTCTTGTCTTGGTCGCGTTTCGAAAGTTCTTGTAACTTTTACATGCCTATATTTTTAAGATCTAAAGCTGAGAATAATACAGCGGAGCCCAGCTCAAAACTAGTCCATTCTGTTCCATATCGTGATATTTTTATAGAATGAATTTCAAAACTGTTAACATCTCGATCTTGAATGTAAAAGCAACAAGCGAACACCAACAGCACGGAACCAGAAACAACCGGAACTTTCGAGCAACAGGCCCCCTGCTTGATACACGGGAAAAGTTTAGAACATTTCGTTGGCGTACGCTGAATAGCAGTCGCCTGTTAAAGTGCCCATAATGTCAAAATATGTTTTTCGTTCATCTAATTCTACATTTCACCAAATGAACTTCTGCGAAAAAAATTTTCGATTTGGATAAAACGCAATTTTTTTAGAATTTTTTAAAGACATTCAAATTTGCCGCCATTTTGGTCCACCATTCGCACCAGTCTTCCTCGGTTTGAAATGAGTCGTGACTTAGGTTCAGGAACACGTGATTTTGGGTTGTGACTTATCTGACTTGAAAACAAGTGGGAATTTGCTTCAGAGTGGTCACAATATCGTAAACGACCCGCACTCGACCAGTGTATTTATATGCACTTTAAGGTCAAGTGAGGTTCCTGAAACTACGTCACAGACATCAGTCACGTGGTCATTTTGAGCACGTTATTCTTGTGATCAGCGGCAGGGGTCGACCGCAAGAAAATAGAATTTTGAACTTTGTAAAAATTCGTAAAAAAATCGCGTTTTATTCAAATCGAAAAAATTTTTCACCGAAGTTCATTTGGTGAAATGTAGAATTAGATGAGCGAAAAACGTTTTTTGACATTACGGGCACTTTAACTCTTTAACCCCTAAGGGTGATTAGCATATAATTTCTCCTTATAATATCACGCCTGAATAAAGCATTTAGGTCACGAGAATACAGGAAATGATCACCAATTAAAGAAACTCTTGATTTTTAAACATTCTTCTTGTTAGCAACGTAGGGAATGTATAGAGATCAGTATGGAGAATATGCCTACTGATGTTAGAGCGTAAAGGGTTTTAGAAAAGAGAATTTCAGTCATATTTTAGTCCGCTGATATTATGATTATCACCGGTTTTGTAAAGGTAGCAGCAACAAGTTTTGCAGAACAGGACTTCCCTGCAGACACCCCTTCGGATCATTCGTCTGCTGCTGGCGCCGGCCTAGCTGAGTTGTTACAAGATGCAGAGCGGTTTCACATTGAAGTTGACAGTTCGCGGACCGTGCCTGAAGATGTCAAATCTCTAGTGGCTAAATACTTAGAGAGTCAAGCAGGCGGTGAACAACAGGCAAGCGATAGAGAGACAGTTGTCACGATTTGGGACTTCGCGGGGCAACATCTGTATTACGCCTCACACCCTGTGTTTCTATCCCCTCGGGCTGTTTACGTGCTCGTGTACAACTTGAGCAAGGAATTGAGCGCTAATATGGAGCCCTGTGTTCGTCAGGGCGTTCACGATTTTATTCCCCACTCCAGTGGTGACGAAACTAACTTGGACAGCATTCTATCGTGGCTCGTTTCTATACACAACCTTAGTGCAGAGGTTAGGGCTAAAGAGAAGGACCAGGAAGAGGAACAGCCATATTTGAGGCCCCCAGTGATCATAGTGGGTACTCACGCAGACAACCCGTTCGAGGACCCTAAACGTATGGAGACCCAAATCAAAACGAGCCTTTCTAGGAAGACCTACGCGCAGCATGTTCGCAGACCGTTTTACCGAGTGGATAACACGCGGTCTGGGGAAGACGAGGGTGTCCGGAAGGTGCGACAGGAAATTAGAGAGGTAGAATGTTACCGCCGCATTGGCTGTATTTGTTTCTTTTGTTTGTTTTCTCGTTAGTACGCGCATTTTTTTCTCTCATTATCGCATTCTTTGTGGTTTTTTTCCTCGCTTTAACGTAATCAATATTCTGTTAGGTATTTTCGCATAATTTCGTCTCGTTAAGGCCCTTTTGCATGCGTTTTTTTTCTCAGTTGACTTGGGCTTTGCCATCGCTACGTTTCATTCGTCCAATTCGCTTACCGTCTTCTCCGTTTTTTATTTTCGTTTTCCTAGCCGTCCTAGTCATACCACGTTTCTACCGCTTGCTTCGCATCGCTTTTCGCTTATATTGTACATTTCGTGGAATCGATTAAACGACATGTAGCGTGTTAGACGTTTGAGTACAAATAAATAACGATCAACTTGAACCTTCGCGAAGCATAGAAAAACCTTCCTAGGAAAATAACATATTAAGTTCATTGTGAAGGATGGTGTTCTATTATTATTGGTTGATATTTAGGGAAACAGACCGTTTAAACTGTTAAGTCCACATGAACGGTTCACCGCGACAGCCAATATTCTTCTTGGTTTTTGTCAGTTGTGATAACCAGAAGTTCTCATAACCATGTTGTGAAATCTCCTCAGTGACAGAAAAGCTCTACTGCAGAGTGGTGATTTCACACACAAATATTACAGATGAAATATTTCGTTCTTTGATTTTTTTTCTATTAGTTTCACCCTCGGTAATTCGAAGACTCAGTGTTTTCTGCGTTGTCTTTCCTTTCAGTTTGTACGTTTAGTTCTCTCGGTTCTCTCATTTTTAGTTCACTCACGCGTTCTTTCTATCGATAAATCAACTGCAAGTTATTGGTGACAATTGGTGTTTTGATGTTATTTTATTTTTCTCTTTTTTCCAGGGTGAATAACGCTATCCACTGGATAAATCACTATCTTGTGGATATTGTTGTACTTTTGTTAATACTTTTCCTCTCGATAGCGATTTATCCAGGGACTAGCGTAACGAGCCCTTTGAACAACTGGGCTCAGGTCATGTTTAATTCATAAAAAGTTGTTTTCAGGTCCTACGCTTGGAGCCCTACATGGGAGAAGACGTTCCCGTACGCTGGTTCAACTTCGAGAGGGTCGTGGAGGCGCTGGTCCAACAGAAAGTTTTCTACCTGAAGGTTTCTCAGTTGTACTTCATCGTGAGTAAGACATGCCTTATCGAGGATGAGACGGAGATGGTTGCCATGTTGGACTTTTATCATGACTTGGGTATTGTAATCTGGCATGGTGACACTGTGGTGCTTCAAACACAATGGCTGATTCATTTGTTTAGGAAACTCATCACTATACGACCCTTTGATGAACAGGTATCGTATTTATATTTTCCTTGAGGACTGCGGCCCGCATGAAACCTTAGCTAGACAAATTTTTAATAGTGCTGAAATAATTAGAAAGTGAGGTATTTCACTTCGTCAAAATTTTTTATTTTAACTCGTTTTTTGGTGCGTTTTTTCTTTTTTTTTTTTTGCATACACAGTTCTTTTTAAACTTTTATCTTACCAAGAAAATTTAAGACTTGGGCGCATTTAGCCTGCTGAGTCTTCAAGATAATTTTGCGCAACTATTTACCTTTGCTGCCGTTCTTGTCTCAGTGTATTTTTATTTCTCTTGATTTTATTACTATTGTTCTTATTCATTAATTGATTGATTGATTGTTTGTTTTTTGTTTTTTTTTTGTTTTTTTTTCATTTCAAGAATCCGCGGCATGCAGCAGCCTGGAACGAGCTGGAAGAAACCGGCCTTTTGAGCATGCGCTTAGTTGATCACGTGTTTGCTGAATTCTTGTGCGATGGCCAGTCACAGAACGACATTCTGTGTATGATGGAAATGTATGGCCTGATTGCAAGATTCACACCTAAAAGTGAAGCTGGAGAAGATTCGCCGGCCGTCAAGTATTTTGTCCCAGCACAGCTCTGTTCGTGTCCAGAGACAGAACTGGACACAACAGAGAGTGAAATTTGTCCTCTGTACATCAACTTTGCGGATGGTTTTCTCCCACATGGTTTGTTTCCGCAGCTGGTTTCTCGGTTCATCTCGGTTTGTCCCGAGTTGGGCTGTACAGATGAACCAAACCTATTTCAAAATCTTGCTAGGTTTATTCTGGGCGAGAGTGATTTATTTCTCATTGGCAAACAGTCGTTTATCAAAGTAATTCTCCAGACAAAGAACTCAGATGACCTGGCCGGTTTGGTCCGCGAGCGTCTGGAGTCGATTCTGAGTAGTCTATCAAGTGACTTTGCATGTCTTCGTAACATGCGTTATGAATTCTCCGTAGCTTGTCCTTCGTGTTGCAACAAAGCCTCAACAAAGAATAAGACCAAGTCCTGTACCGAAAACGACCGCATTCACTTCATTCCCATTTCAAATGACGGAAAATTGATTTGTACGAAGACTTTTGGTGCCCGTTCGCGACTGGAGATTCCCGGTATAGACAAATGGCGTGGTTGTGTCAAAAACGTAAGTTAAGACTTTTCAACCTTCTTAACTTGAAATTCTTTTATCTAAGAAAATACCCTGTCCTTCTTTGAGATTTCCTTTTTTTTTTATGGGCATCTCTTGTTGGATCGATCGTTCTGGCTGGGTCTTTGTGTTGTGTTATAGGGCAAGACTCATCAGTTCACTCTGCATCTCTCCAACCAGGCTCTGGTTGGAGAGGCCACTTATCAGCGGGATATCTTTTTATCCGTTGCATCCGTTGGATAGCGTTATCTTCCCTTTGAATAACTGGGCACGTAAGTATGAATGGATACCGGAAGACTGTCAGGAAAACCAGAACAAATGTTGCGATGTAATATATGATGGACTGGTGCCCTATCCAAGAAAGAATGGCGACACTCCCAGTTGTTTTATGTCACTGAAACCAATCAGTGTTTTGACTTGATTGCTAACCTCACCCTCACTTCCCTTCAATAGAAAGTCGTGGAACACTTTGTTCTAGTTTTCGCAGTGTCTCAAAAGTATGTGAAAGTGTACAAACCCTTACCATTCCTAATGTTTCGGTTCAAGACTGTTACTTCTGATATGTGAATAGCTTGCTTATCTTACCTATTACACGCTTATTTATTTACTCTCTGCGGACTGGTTGAAAAGGTTGAAAGCAATGATGGTACCAAAAAATAAACAATCTTGTCAAGATAAAATGGCATTTTGTTTTGTTTTCACTCCACGACGTGTTACTAATATCAGATTTATTTCCCGAGATTAGTTTCAGACTGTGTCAACTTTAGTAAGCTCCTTTTTTTATTGCAGACTGACGAGCCGAGTCCTCCAGATGTACCTCGAAATAAAACTTTCGAAGGTAATCATTTTGAAACTGTGTTATGTTCACACCCACTAGTAGGCTAAAAGAAACTGCAAATAAAATAATGTAGTTCTTTTCGTAACCAATTTTAATGATAACCCACGGCCAGAATATACACTCTCATTTTAACGATGGAGTTAACGCAGTATGAATTTATTTTCTTCTTACTGTAGACGAGATGGATAGCCCTTCAGAGATCGCGGCCCGCCCCGCAGTGTTTATCTCATATCAATGGGGTCTCCAGGACACTGTGAAGGTATTGAGGAACAAGCTGGAGGAGGCTGGGTTCGAATGCTGGATGGATATCGGTCAGATGGGTGGAGGAGACGCCTTGTACGCAGAGATAGATGCAGGAATCAGAGCTTCTAAGGTGATTCTTGGAAATCCAATTTTGGAGAATTGATGAGGGTGTTTCCTTACCCGCCCTAAGGAACGGGAGAGGAGGCATAATGATTGGTACACAGGACTCCTAGTGAAGAGATCCAAGTCTTAGGCCGCTTTGATCTTAAAGACACCCACCCTTTCACTCCGGAGTTAAAATTGGTAACAGTAGACTGTCTGGGATATCTGACGAAATTCTAGTCTTGGGAAGGGGAGGGAGGGGGAATTGGGCTACTTGCGTTGGACTGAGCAT